GAATGCGGATAATAATATTGATGATGATGAGTCAAAAAGGGCCGAGCACGGAGAAACCAACCAAAGTAAAAATGGCTACGCGAAGCCGGACGGAGATTAAAGCGATTCACATGTCACCGCATGTCTGTCACCACAGCGGAAAAGGCTCGAGATGCAGCAGGTCTCGCACGTTGGTTGACGGTTGGAACTGGGGACTGTCCAAGACCAACCGCGGCATCGGGGGTTCCCTATCTACGCCTAATCCCTCTCTCGGCTGGGTGCCTAGCGACGAGCGCCCCTCGCCTAACCGCCTAACATTGCGCCTATCTCATCCTCCAAGGCGCCCAGTGCTTGTGCTTGTGCTGCGGCTTCACCCCCTTCCACTTCCATCTCAACCAAGTCATCGAGTCAGCAGCCCGTCCTTCATTCTACACCTCACATCTCACACATCCACAAATCTCCCACCGCGTGATTTCTAATGCCCTCCCGCCGTCCGTCCTCACCATCATGAATGCGGTTGATGCATCCGAGCACTTTGACAAACCATCCCACTGTAAGTGCCAGACTAGTCCGCGTCTCGCAATCTTTTACCCGCCACTCCGCTGGACTCGGGTGACGAGAAATTGCAAATCCCGCTCCAATCACCAGCCATACATTCACTCACAAGGCTCAAGTCCTCGTCCAGACGCGATACTGACAAGGCTGCCAGCAACAGAACAATCCCCCTCGCTCCTCGCCCTCATCCTCGACACCAACCCGGCAGCATGGTCGTTGCTCTCAGAAACCCTCCCTCTCTCCAGCGCCGTCGCCAATCTCCTCGTCTTCATCAACGCCCACCTAGCCGCAAACTACACCAACAAAGTCGCCGTCATCGCCTCCCATTGTGACCAAGCCGCGTGGCTCTATCCAACTCCAACCGAACAGAACCTTCCTCGCGCCATCTCCGCCCGGGCAAAGCGACAACCTCAAGGTCAAGCGCGACACGGTGACAACCTCCCCGACTCGGCCAAAAGGCTGAAACTCAATGGCCCGGCGACACAGGATCCTCTTCCTCCCAGCCCGAATCCCAGGTCATCTTCATCCTCAGCAAACACGGGCAGCAAATACCGCCCCTTCCGCCTCGTCGAAGAAGAGCTCCTCCGCAACCTGACTCTGCTTTTCTCCACCACCTCTCCAGATGCCGTCTCCAGCAGTTCATCCACCATGATCGCCGGCGCCCTTACCCTGGCGCTCTCTTATATCAACCGGGAGTCCATCCTGCTCTCTGAGTCTTTAGTCGGATCGTCAAACACCCGCAGCGCCAATGCCAGAGATCCTGTCACCACCTCCTCTGCCGCCGGAGATGGAGCCAGTCAGTCTCTTCAATCACGCATTCTCCTCGTCTCGGCATCCCCCTCCACCGACCTGGCTCACCAATATATCCCCATCATGAACGCCATATTCGCGTGCCAGAGACTCTCAATCCCCATCGATATACTGCAACTTCCTCTCCCCACCACCACCACCGCCTCCTCCTCACTGTCCAGTACCACCAACCCATCATCAACATCCTCGTCAAACCCAAGCGGGAACTCCTACTCCCCCTCTCGCTCCCACTCGTACTCGGACTCGACCGTCTTCCTCCAACAAGCCGCGGACGCCACCCACGGCATTTTCATCCCCGCCCACCTCACCTCGCCCAACTCGCCCAACCCCGTCAAGACAGCATCCCAGTCCCTCCTGGCCTACCTCCTAACCAGCTTCCTCTCCAGTCCGCAGACCCGCTCCGCGCACTTGATCCTCCCCACCCGCATCGACGTCGACTTCCGCGCCGCCTGCTTCTGCCACCGCAACGTCGTCTCCGTCGGCTTTGTCTGCTCCATCTGTCTGAGCATCTTCTGTGAGCCGCCCGAGAACGGAGACTGCCTGACCTGCGGAACCCATCTGGCCGTAGATGAGGGAAGCTATGGAAAAACTCCGGTCGTTGTGGCCTCCGCGAAATCGAAAAGGAACAAGCCCCAGCAAGCGACCCCAAGGTAATTGAACTGGCATGTAGGCGGCATGCATAAATGTATCATGGGCCATTTCAAAGGGATTTCGTCGGCAATGTGCAACCACAAAAGTGGTGAACGACGAGTACACTCGACGGAATAGATGCCTCTCAAGCACATTGTTTGTCTCGAGTAGGTTTTGAATTTCTCGTCTACCAATAGGCGACTTGTAGGATATCTTGAAGTCTCAAAGACTCACGCGAAGAAGACGCTATGAATATGACCCCCTTTCTCCAGGTCTGTCGCATGCGTCTGGCCTTGCTTCCAGTTCTGCGACTCCCCACCACGGTCTCTTGCAACATCCTCACCTCCACTCTACCCAGCCACCCCCCCTTGGTACCCGTGTCGAATGATGAGCTTTGGAAAAGCCAAAGCCCGGGAATGTTGGGCCATGCACGACAACGCCTCGAACTGCATCTTAGGTTCTTCTGGAGATAAGATCAACTGACCCTTTCACCGCGTCCGGCTGTGTTTTGATTTGGAGACCCTTCCTCCTTGCGCGATCGAGCCGTGACCTCGGCTTCGTGACATGGTGCATACCGGCTTCTTTTCCTCCGAATGCATCGAGGCGAGGGCGAACGAGTCCGTATTGTGCCCAAAATAAAAGTAGATCCCGTCGCGGCACTTTTTGACGGCCAGAATACCAATGGCGCCAACACAATGGCTGTTACTCACAGCAGGATGTGTCATAAAGTCGTTCTTGATGACCGAGTGCATGGCTTCGTCTTCATTGCACGACTCGAGCTTTCCTCGCTCTTTGCGAACCGAGTTGTAGATCCGATCAGCAGCCGTGGCTGCGGCCGTTGTCGTGGCCATATGCTCCCCCGTCCCACTGGTGACTGTGGCTACGCAAGTTTGGGTGGGATCTCGTGGATCAGCAGGAATCACTGCAGTGCCGATCCCAACAAGAGCAGCTGGGCCACATCGCCCCTTGTGTTTCATCCCGATGCCCCCAGAAGATGACCCTGCGGCTATCCGCCCGAAGCAATCAACTGCAATCGCACCGACCGTGTCACTTATGTCATCTTCCCGGCGATCGCCAATGTGGGCGAGTTGTGGCGTAGTCGACACCGATCTATGCTGGATGGCAAGATTGGACTCCTCACCGGACGGACCGTCCAGAGAATCACTTAGCTTCTGCCGTTTGGGGGCCGACATTAACCATTGGAGACTGTCGTCGGTGGCAGCCTCAAGGTGATCATAAGATGCGTGTCCGTTCGGCAGTTCGTTTTGGCTGGTAGAATGAGAAACGGGGACAGAAGAATGACATTCCGAGTTCGTGTCTCCCCCTGGATGCGATAACGTAGGCACATCGGCCGTTGAGGCTATCAATGGACGGACCATAGGAGGCAATTGTGAGAGACTGACGTGATTTTCAGGGGCGGAGGGAGTCACCACAGGGCTAATGGGAACTGCGGTTGGTGTTGGAACATGGGCCCAGTCATCCTGTGATTCATTCGATGGCGATGGCTGCGTCTGATCATGCTGCTTTGCCTCCTTCAGGGCCACATCTGCAAGGTCATCCCGCCACTTTGTCCATCGCTCACGGGCATTTGCCGAGACCAAGAAATCCGGAGGAAGAATGGGAATGCCTTTATCGGCAGCATAGTCGGTTGCACCAGCGCCGACCAGCAGGTTTGGAGGGACGCGTTGGAGTGACAGAGGTTTTGTGGATTCTTCAAGAACAAGACGAGCGACGGCGATTGGGTTCTTGACTTGGGAGATTGCACCAACTGCACCACTGCGGCCAAGGTGATCGACGAGTGTGGCATCACACTCAACCAGCCCATCTATAGTCAAGTTGCTCCCATAGCCGGCATTGGTGATCTCCTTGTCCTCCAGCAGCCGGATGGCCATTTCCACGGCGTCGGTGGCGTCGCCTCCATTCTTCAAGACGGCCATTCCAACCTTGGCGGCATCGTTGACGGCGGTGAGGTGATTTTTCTCATTTTGCAGACTGTGGAAGCCGGCACCAGCGTGGATGAAAATGGCACAAAGGTCGCCGCCTTCTTGTGGACGACGAGGCATTGACGAGGTCAGACGATCAGAGGATCAGACGGGAGTGAAACTCGATCAGCATCAGAGAAGGTGTTCGAGTGCGTTGAAGGGGGCTCAAATCCAGAGAACGTCGAAAGCAGGGCTCATGTGAGAACAAACCCCAGTTACAGACTGAAAACGGCACGGGTTGCAAGGCAAGGCAGAGAGGAGGACTGTTTGAAAAGAACGGGAGGGTTTAAATCCTACTGTTGAAAAGGCCGTTGGCAGAAGAGAAAGTTGCAGCAGAAAAGATGGACTTGACGATGCCAGCCTGAATGGGTGAAGGAATGAATACGTACGTGAATGAGTTGAAGATGGAAAGATGAAAAACACGTCGATTGAAAGTCTGTAGGCAGCTGGAGTTGGCAACGCTGCTTGGCATTTCTGGAAGCTGCAACCTCCAGATCGAATGCTACGACTTCCCGGAATGGGATCTTGATATGAACAGTGGCTCACACTCTGCCAAAGTTCCAGCGTTGAGGCAAGCAAACCTGTGACGGGGAAGCAGGATACAGTAAGAGGAAACTGAGATCGATTAGGTTGGAGACGGGCAGCAGCCACCAACAGCCACCACAGCCACCACAGCCGCACTGGATGTAGTCACGTGCATGTTCTAGGTCACGTGGATGACATAATCCGCCGCCCACTTTGCCTGGCGGCCATTGCCAGCCCGCAGCAGCCCACCAACTGCCAGCTGTTTCGTCTCACTGCTGTCCCTCAATCCAGTGTCTGCGTCTTCTTCTGCCCACAATTGAAAGCTGCCTGCATACCCTGGTGGATGGAAATAAGGTGCTTGGGCTCCTGTACCTGTTGTCTCCCTCTCTCGATCCTCTCCGGCAATGATCCTTCCAACAGGCATCGAGTCATCCTAGCGACGTCCTGATCTCTCCCCATTGCCCGCCGTCGTCGCATCGTCGCTGGTCTTCGAGGTAGTCCGCGACCAGCCCATTCATCATGGCCTCCCAAACCCCCGCCGTTGTCATGGACAAGTATGTACTCCTCCAACGTACGAAACCCGGTGCTGACAGTCAACAAGCGGAACCGGCTTCTCGAAACTTGGTACGGCCATGGTGCATCGAAAATTGTGGCAACTTCTGACCTGCCCAATTTAGGTTTCGCCGGAAATGATGCCCCTTCGTTCGTTTTCCCCACGGCCATTGCCATGAAAAGTGCTGGTGGCGGCGCAGCAGGAACAGGCTCGGGAAGACCAGCTGTTGCAAACAAACCTTCATATCTCACAGGTGGTGCCGGACCCAGTTCCAACTTGGCCGGCAAACGGGGTACAGAAGATCTCGACTTTTTCATCGGAGATGAAGCACTTGCTGCGTCGGCTGGTCCTGGCTACAGCATAAACTATCCCATCAGACACGGTCAGATCGAGAATTGGGACTACATGGAACGTTTCTGGTCAAATTCCATCTTCAAATACTTGAGAGTTGAGCCAGAAGATCACTATTTTCTCCTGACAGAGCCCGTGGGTGTTGATGAACCGCTCTTGGTGGCTAAGCGTTGACTGGTTTGTAGCCTCTTAACCCCCCTGAAAACCGCGAGAATACCGCCGAGATCATGTTCGAGTCGTTCAACTGCGCGGGTCTCTACATTGCCGTACAGGCGGTTCTTGCTTTGGCCGCCTCGTGGACATCTTCAAAAGTGACCGATCGCTCGCTGACTGGGACCGTCATCGATTCCGGAGATGGTGTCACCCATATCATTCCTGTCGCCGAAGGGTACGTTATTGGTTCCTCAATCAAGAGCATACCGATTGCCGGGCGGGATATCACATATTTCGTGCAGAGCCTGCTGCGAGACAGAGGAGAGCCCGACAGCAGTCTAAAGACAGCCGAGAAAGTCAAGGAGGAATACTGTTACGTCTGCCCTGACATTGTCAAAGAGTTCGCACGGTACGACAAAGAACCCGATCGATTTCTCAAACACACTGTCACCCAACCAAATGGCCGGTCCATCACCATTGACGTTGGTTACGAGCGGTTCCTTGCTCCCGAGATCTTCTTCAATCCTGAAATCTATTCTTCTGATTTTCTCACTCCTCTGCCAACTGTGGTCGATGGAGTCATCCAGTCATCCCCGATAGACGTCCGAAGAGGCCTCTACAAGAACATTGTCCTGTCTGGCGGTTCGACCCTGTACAAGGATTTCGGCCGGAGATTGCAGCGAGATATCAGACACTTGGTGGATGCCCGCATCAGAGCATCTGAGGCCCGGAGCGGTGGGGCGAAGAGTGGTGGCTTGGAGGTTCAAGTTGTCACCCACAAACGACAGAGACATGGGCCTTGGTTTGGAGGCAGTCTCCTGGGGCAGACGCCTGAGTTCAGAAGTTACTGCCACACGAAGGCTGAATACGACGAGATAGGCCCGAGCATCGTCAGGAGGTTTGCTTTGCTGGGAGGCCCCGGAAGTACGTAGACACGATGATCTGACGAGCTAGAAAGTGACGATTCGAGAGAATCACGGTTCCAAGTGCAAACGCAAACTCCATGAGCGTTCCAAGTAGAGAAAGGTTCGGTAGCTGCAGTGAGTTGATGATATAATCGGTTCCAATCGAGTCACCCGTCATCTTGGGGTCTCCAAGGTTGGTGCAATGGAACTCGCATCACCGCCAACTGGTTGACCGATGTCTTGATTCATTTCTGACTTGGACCGAGGCCAGAAAGGCCCCCCCTACTCTTTCCGTTTAGAGAAGCGCCTTCCAGTTGGCACCAGACTGACCTGGCGCTGTTCCTCTTACAACGCGCCGCACGAAGACGAACTCCGCTTCGGGGCTCTGGGGTCTCTCACCAGATGACATGGATGAGCATGGAAGGCGAGATCGTAAGAGTACCATCCCTTGCCTCGAAAGATCGAATGGAAACACTTGATGGACGGATAGGGCCATTACTCGCCCAGCCTGTCAATCTTCCGGCTCTTTCGGCGTCCCGGACTTCTCGTCACCACCACCACCACCACCACCACCACCACCACCACCACTACACATAGCGGTATGGCATCCATCAACGCCTCCGCGGCTCCAATGCCAATCCGGTTCATGATTCAAGACCCCGGTTCGCGTCAAAGTAGGCAGGAGAAAAGCCTCAAAATTGCACAAGCCCGAAGCCACGCCGCCAAATATGTCGGTCGGCGTGCTCGCTGGGAGAGGCAGATCAGGTAGAGGGCATTTGGACCAAAAAGAAATCGCAGATGGACGTCCTCGCTAACAAGCCACCGCAGTTGGCGCCGAGAGACAGATCATGAACCACCTGGCCGAGAAGAGCAAGCGCCCCCCGCCGATGGTGGTGCGGACGATCAGCCAGGTCCCTCAAAGGCGCTCATACACGATGCTTTAACCCAGAGCAAAAGAGACCCATTCTCTCCTTACAATGCGTCAGAGCATCCGGCAGTCTTTCAAGACCTCATTGAGTTCAGTACGCCATTCAATCCTTCTGCTTGGATCTGCCCGCCCTTGAAAAGTGACAAAAATGGCGATATGTCGAGCATGGCTGACTAGAACTTTTGTTGGAAGCATATGACAAGCTATGGCCTGATCTGATTGAGGTCGATGGAAAGCCACCAGTCCATCCAGGAAGGCGGCTATGGCGCTTGGCTGCACAGGAGTGCCCTGCCGTTCACCACGTCCATCTTGCAAGTGTTGCAGACTTTGGGAAAGCTATGTACCATCCCTACGCTTATAGCACCATGTTCGACCGGTTGAGGTTGTTTCATCACACCCAGGCACTCCGATTGGTAAGGCAAATCATACAGAACATGGACTCCGACGCAAGCCCGACTGATTCGCTTGTGATGGCCGTGTACAATCTGTCATATCAAGGAACAGACTGGGATAGGCGGGAGTTTCCTGCGAGCCACGCTCCCCCGCCGACATTGAAGGGACGTTTCCTTGCCCGTTACGGTAGGAAAGTGCCCCATGCTGAGCACATCCGTGCTATGAACCTTCTCATTCATGCCAAGGGCGGCTTAGAAGAGGTCAAACTCATAGGGATTGCAGAAATGATATGGCTGTACGTGGTTTCCCTGAACCCGAAGAGAAGAAAGAAAGAGGAATCATTTGCCCCCGTTCCTAACCGTGGGTGACACATTAGATGGAGCCTGAACAACTGCACAACTCTCATACAACCGCCCAGTTTCCCCCTTCTGAAAATATACGAGACTCTTTTCATCAAGTACGCAAGTAACGTCGATATGTCCATTCGCAACGGCACCTTTGGGAACCTAGGAAGTGGGTTTTTAGTGCTCCCGGCACATGACGACGTTGGCAAACTCCGAGAGCTTTTGCTTTGCGCAGCAGCCGTCACCGTCGAACTTTCCCAACTGGGGCCGGGCCATGAGAGTACGCGAGAGTGGCGTCAACTCCTGAAAGTCGCTAGAGCAACGCACCACCAGATCCTGAGCATGCCCCAAGACATTCCGGTGTCAGTCGCCGGGAGCGAAGAAGAGAGGCTGATTTTCTCCATCACGCGTCTCGGCGCGCTTCTCTACGACGACATGGTGATTTACCCCCAAAGGGACACCTCCGAAATCAAGCCTCGACTGGCCAATTTGCTGCGGCGCGCTTTGACTGAGAAGCTTCTCAAGTTCATCCCCGGGGGAGGCCGCGAGGAGTACCGACCACTAATCCTTTGGACGCTTGTGCTGGGATGCATCGGGGCGACGTTCACAGCAGATCGCCAGTGGTTCGTGGCGCAGCTTCATGAACGGTCCGCACAGCTTGGGCTAGGCAAGTTTTCCGACTTCAAGTCCACGATGTCAAATTATTTGTGGTTCGAGAATATGGATGAACCTGCGTGGAGGGCGTGGTCTGAAGGCGAAGATGCGATCCGTATCGAAAACCAGGACAGGCAAGAGCATGAGCACAAGGATGGGGATGACGACAAGGACTCCAAGGGTCCAGGGGCTGGCTTTGTTTGACCCTCACTATAAGACGGACCCATGAGATGGAGTGGTACTCTGGGACTTCCGAGAACAACCCTGGATCGAAAAGCAGCATAGGACCACCGGCGATGCTCATATCTACTATAGATTCGCTAGGACCTATAGGAGAGCAAGAAGAGGAAGAAATAGGGCGTCTATTTTACAATCGGCCACCAGCAAAGGTTCGAACGGCGGCAACACCGTTCACAGGTTCGTTTCCTCTGCCGTCAGCGTCCTCCACATCCCTCAGCTTATCCATTCCAGCTATTACCTAGTGTGTCCTGATTCTTCCGCAAAGGGGAGGAGGGGTCGAGAGCTCATCTACCACCGCTCTCCACTCTATTGAGGAAACACACGCCTTCCACATGGCCCGTCTGCGGGAAGAAGTCAAACCCGCCCAGCTTTTCGATGCTGTACCTCCACCTGCCGCCGAATCCCGCCACCAGCATGCCCACGTCCCTCGCCTGAGTGTGGACGTTACAACTCACATAGACGACCCGTTTCGGGCCGAAGTTGCAGAGCTGCTGGAGGAAGTCCGGCGAGGCGCCCTTGCGGGGCGGATCGATCACCACGAGCGTCTGGGACGGCGGGAAGGGCACGTCGGTGAACAGGGCTTGGGCATCGGCGGCGATGAATCCCGTGTTACCCTCGCCGGCCTTTTGGCCCGGTGTTGTGTTATTGTTGCTGTTACTTTTGCGGTTCATTTTCGCATTGTCCCGCGCGCATGAGATGGAGAGCGCGTCGATATCGATGCCCAAGACCGACGAGAAGTACGGCGCGAGGGCGATGCTGAATAGGCCCGAGCCGCAGTATGCGTCGAGCAGATATTTAATTTTTGGGGGAGATTCTAGGAGCTCGCCCATGGCCGAAGACAATGGTCCTGATGGCGACGTCTTTGGAAGCAGGTTCTCGCGGATATAAGATAGGAAGATGGGCAGGATGGAATTGTTGTTCTGGAAGAAACTGTTCGCCCGCGTGGTGAACGTGTACGGCCCAATGTGCTCGGTCGTCAAGGCCTTGGGGTCGGACGTGTAGGTCTTAACGTCTCGGAAGCGAGGGTAGGTGTATGTGATTTCTGGGGAGGTTGGAGAAGGGAAGGAGAGCTCAGTCGACACGGGCTCGCCGGCATAGGCGAGTGGTAGGGACGACATATCTTGAATCGAGTTGGAGGAGGGAGTTTGTCCAGTTTCTCTGTCTTCTTTGGCGCTTTTGTTCACTCCCTTGTCCCTGTCGGCGCCTGACGAGGTGTCTATCGTCGTCGAGTTCTCACCGCACTGTTCTTCCGCCGCAGGTGACGGGATAATGTCGCGTCTCGTCGACTCCCTCAACAGGACAGTCGCTCCGTTCCTGCTCTTCCAGAAGGACTCGTGCATCTTCTTCCGCTCGATCTTCAGACCCTCGTTCAATATCGGCGTGCCGATCGGACACTGTTCAATGTCCAGGATGCGGGGTACGTTCTTCCTCATGAACCCGAACGGCGGCGGATCGTCGCCCTTTCTGAACGGTTTCGCCTTGGAACAGCCCGTGTAGTGGGGCGTCAGTTTCGTGCGGTAGCCATACTGCAGGGGCGATCCGATGGTGCCGTCGACGGCCGGGATCTGCGAAGGGTCCAGATTCGAAAAGTGTTTGAAGGCTTTCTCCACGATCGTCTTCTTGTGCACGAGCTGCGCCTCGTAGGGCAGCATTTGGAGCTGGCAGCCCGAGCAGGTGCCGAAGTACGGACACCCCGGCGTCACGCCCTCGCGACTCGGCGACGGGCGCAGCAGTTTGACGAAGTCGACGCGTGTCCACAACGGGCTTTCCTCACGCTGGGGAAACGTCTTGGCGAGAACTTTGTCCCCCGGCACGGCGAAGGGGACGACGTAGATCCAGTCCCTGCTCTCCGGGGCGTAGGCCAGCCCGTCGCCAGTGGACGAGAGATCCTCGATCTCCAGTTCGAGTTCCGTGTGCGGCTCTGGTCGCAAAAACCGCGACGGCGAAATCCCTTCGTGGGACCGAGGATCTTCCTGGCCTTGACCACCACGATCCTGTGCGCTGGATCCCTCTTCCCCTTCTGGAGAAGCTCCACCACCAGCATCACCTTCACTTCCACTATCCCGTTGCTGCTGCTGCTGCTGCTGCTGCTGCTTCTTGAGGAGCAGACCCTCTGCCTCGATAGTCAAGACCTGCTCTGGCGTACCATCCTTCAACTGAGACCGTTCCTTCTGGAGTCTGAGCCGCTTCGCACGGGCCAGGGGTCCTCTGTTGTTGATTTTCTCCATCCTCGCCGCAATCGACGCGGCATTGTACTTCTCCCCCGGAGATCTTGGTTTGCGGTTGGCTCTGAGACTGAATGGCTGGAAAAACTTCGCTGCTGATGGCGGTGAGGTGTTGCTGCTGCTCCTGCTTAGTCTATGAATCACTGTTCTGGTGTTGGCGCGACGGCGGGTGCCGAATGACAAAGCTAAAGCAGAATAGCCCGGTGCGCACTGAAGGGGATGACCCAGAAACATAGATTTTCCCCGCACAACAAACGGGCTCCGTAACTAGCCTAGAGTCGAGTCGGCAATAGATACTGCGGTTCTACGACTACCAGGTCCAAAGGAATCAAAAGGAGTCGAAATCGTGGTGTCGGAAAAATTTCGATTACATAATAATGCCAAGAGAATACCCGGCCCAATCAAACAGTGCCAATTATACTACACGCACGAGTATGTACATAGACAGAGAGGGCCGTGGCATTGTCGTTTCCTGTGTCAACATTCGGATCCTCTTCAGCCTCACCAACTTCCTTCCCAAATGCCCAAGTAGACTGGGCATCCGCTAGTAAGACGTGATATTAAGCTGTCCATTAGCTGCGAATAGGCCCCTGTTTCCGCGCCGGAGAGTTTCCGCTTCCTTGCCCCAATGATACGGGATCGTGACCCGATAACAACATGTCTAACCACCATCCCGGCATCATTGAGGCCTCCTTGCATGTACAGCGAGAACAGCAAGCGATTGCATTTATAGCACAAGATCATATGACCCGGTCTGGAATGTACCTCCCCTTTACCCATTACCAGCTGAGGCACGACGTGGACATCGTATAGCTGACTAAGAGTGTCGGGCCAAGAAGGATGCGTCGTTTGAGAATCCCGTTGGTGGGTGCCTCATTGTACAGTGCCGCGATCAATGACCCATCTAATGTAATATGGCGGTGCTTTTATGATGTGGATTAGGAGGGTTAGGGTAGTGGCGTCCCTTTCTAAGCCATTATTCGGTAGCCGAGCCTGCCAGAAGGCCGTTGTCATTGGTTTGGGCAAATATCCGACCTATCTTGTGAGGGGTTTCCCAGTAATGAGTTGAGCCTGCACAGGCGGCTTGTAGAAAAGACCGTCATCCGTCGGTCCGATTGCACTGGAGATGCGTGTGGGACTTCTCTCAGTCGTCGGTATCGAAACCCCTTGCTGGCGTTCTCGATGGACTGCGCGACAATTCTGCATGCAAATCAGCCACTGCCGGACGACTGCGTAATCGCGATTGTCTGTCCAGCCCTCCGCCTTTCGCCAGGCTGTTGTTCTTCGGTCTTGACTCCAAAAGAGGGCTTCGAGCTTCTGCGTCGGGGTGGTTCGCCGAAAAGCGTTGCGCGGCTAGTTCAACAGGGCCTTCGACATTGTGATTGACAGGGGATCTGGATTTATGGCGCCTATTGAATTCATCTACTGTCAGGCCAAGTCCCATTATTTCTCGAGGTTCTGTGTCTTGAGGGTTGGGAGCTCGAGGAGAGTAATAAGCAGGTGCAGGCGAGAAAGGACTTTGCATGGCGGAAGCGCTTCCGGGATATTGGGGAAGCGGTGTCAAGACGGCACCGGAAGGATCCTTATAGAATGGCTTGTATTCTTGTGGCCTTGGTCCAGGCTGAGTGGATGCTTGCAGAGATTGTTTCATTCTTCTTCGTCGGACAAGGCAAAAGATCGCAAGCCCAATGATAATCGACAAGGCCACAACGGCGGCAGCGACACCACCCGCTATAGCGGCTGTATCAACTGAGTTGGAGATTGGTTGAGGCGATGCTGTGCTCGATGTCGTCGTAGCAAATGCCGATGAGCCAGAAGCTGAACTCGAGGTTGCAACCGAGGCGGGAACTGTAAAGGTCGAACTTCCAGCTACGACCACCGTATGAACGCCGGCTGGGCGTAAATCAGAGGCAGGACATCCTTGGCCGTTGCACGGATTGCTCTCGCAGCAGCCCTGGAAGGTAACAGAATTGTCGGCGCAAGTGTACCAGAGTCCGCCATATGGACAGGAATGGTTGGGATAGTCTGGCACGGGCGTTGTGACAGGGCCAAAGCCCATAGGATACAAGTTGTCTTGAGCGCACATCTGTCCAGAGCAAGGGTTGCTTGAACAGCATCCGATGAATGTTGGATAGTTGACATCTTCACATTTCCACCACTCGCCTCCAACCGGACACGACACGTAGTCGGAATCATTGAAACTGTCTTGTCTCCGGAGATGGGCCACCAGGAGATCGGATGTGTAAAGCGAATGATTGTCGGAGACCATGATCCCTTGGATCCTTTAGTGATAATTCGACAAGTCTGGCATCGAAGAGCATTCGCATCGATGGTGCAAGGCGAAGACGAGGGAGAAGAACCTCAGGAAAAGCCAGTATCGGAGAAATACAAGCAACGGGAGCTATTAAAAGGATAAACGTCAGATCTTTGGGGGACGACCTGCTAGGTGGGATGTAAATAATTGGCTTTAACGAACACCGCCAAAGGAATAAGAACAGTTAGGAAGCATTATACACAAATGGCCACAAAGCCTGCGACCGGCGGAGGCACCGTAGGTATGGTCGCTCAGTGCACCGCCCCTCCTGGTAAGCGAGCGACGGTTTAGGCGGGCAATATTCGGGCTAGCGAGGGTCATTCCTCCAGCGGGGCAAGCTGTTAAGGCTCTCGAACAGGGTGTAGGTCGAATGCCAATGCTTGTGCGATGAAAGCAGGCCTTCAGCCCAAGTCGTTCGTCGTTCG